TGGTTTGCGAGTACATAATACAATAAATGGGTTTATAAATGCAACTTTTCTGCAGAGCACTGTAGAATAAAATACAATATCACTACGGCATTTAACACTGATCTCTGGTTCATTCATATTTCAAACAGTAATGTGCCCATTTTCTCATGTGGGAAACCTCTTAGGTTTTTTTAATACATTTTTATAAATTAACCAGGCACAGATTTAATAATAATGTGCATTTGTATAGCTTTTTCCATCTCTGAGGATCTTGGATTGCTCTCAGACTTAACGGTGTAATATAGAAATTACGTGCCCAAGGATCTGTTTGCTCTCTGCCAAAATGCAGCAGGAGTTTGGATTGCTCGGGAATGTTGTGGATGCAAATGGCCTGGAGGGAGGAAACTTGAACCCAGCACTCAGGGCAGGACAGCTTGGAGGGGAAGGTGCTTCATGGGTGCCGAGAGCAAAGTCCCCTGAAGAAGAGAGGCTGTGAAGATCTTTAGGAAATCTCCATGAGAGAAGCAAGGTGGTTACTGAGGAACCAGGAGGCTGGAAAATGGAGAAAATGCTCCTTAATATGTGTCTTGTAACTTTTGGGATGCAGCAATCCTGGGCACGGTGGAGCCAAGGGCAGGGAAGGCCTTGGGAGAAAGGGCTGTTCTGTCCAGATGGGCCTTTTTAATAAGATCTCCATCAGGACAGCAACTGGATCCATCAGGACAGGAAAATTCTGAGCAGAAGGACGAGGTTTCTCAATCAAAGTGTGTCCAAAATCTTTTAGATTTTTGACATAGGATCTTCTCCTCTCACCCTTTCTGGCCAGCTTAGGAAGGTGTTGAGCTTCTTTCCTTGGGGACTTTAATGTTCTTTGAAGAGTTCTTTGCTTCTGGGATCCCCAGGTGAGATGAGGCTTTTCCAACCCTCAGCCTTTCCCAGTTCCCACGTTTTGGTGTCTCTGACACTAGGATATCTGCCATGGAGGTTGTTCTTTCACCATCCTGGAAAGAAAAAATGTAAAGTTAAACTCATGCAATTGGACAAAAGTATTTACAGGTAGCAAATTGCTGTCACTGTAACAGGAAAACATGAGAAAATGGAAACGTGATATTTATGTTAATACAAAGTTTTAAAAATTTAATTTAAGAGACCAGCTGTTTCTGCTTCTCTTATAAGAGCTTAATTGATATATAATAGCATAGTTAATTAAATACAAATCAATAGTTTAAACCAGCTAATTGATATTTAATATGTATGGGAAAATATAACTTAGTTGTAATGTCATTAACTCAATATTAAATAAGCAATGGAATTGCAATTATGCCTTTACAACGATTGTAAAGTTTATCGTTCTTTAATAAACTTGCAATTAGACAGGGTGAGCTGAAAAATTATTAAACAGGTATTATTGGGCTATTAAACATTTATTATCATTCCTGGTGGGATACAGCTACACAATATTAGACATTATGATCATGTTAATAAACCCTTATTACTGCTCTGCAGCTTCAGCCTTTAGTGCCCGGTGATCGGAAACCTCCTCCCCTTCCTGAGTTGTGAGCAGAGGAATTGCCTTCAATTGAGGGAGGAAACCCCAAACAGTGGGAGAAACCAGGAAAAAGGAGGAGGATTCCATAGTTTGGGCTAGTGCTGAGAGATCATTCTTCCAAAACAAACCTTCTCTCCAATTTCCCAGGCTGAAGGTTTGTTTCTCGAGGACCCTGAGCTCTTGTTTCTTTAAATTGGCTTTCACTTCGTTGTCACTTGATTCTAATTTGTCTGACGAGTGGCTCTTGTGCCAGTTTGAGGTTTTGTTAATGAAGGTCCCTTTAAGTGAGTCAAAACCAGGGCTCTGCCACGTGTTTTCCATCAGAATCCTTAAGCTCCCACTTCTTTACAGTGCCTGGGATGATAAACTTCAGCTGAAGATAGTTTTGCCCTGCTGAGAAAATTCAATTGCTGTTGCAAGGCAATGGATGGGATTCTTTTGGGAGAGTGGGGGTTAAAATATTCTGTTTTCAGTGGTGTCTCAGCAGCCCCCCTAAAGCCAAGACATTTAAAATGCTGGGTATCTGCTTAACTATTTTAGCTTTAGGTAGCCACTAAAAGCCATGAAATGGTGAGACATCCTTAGGCAGCAGAGTAATCTTGAAGTATTTTACCTTTTAAAGGCGCTCTCAAGTATTTAAAGGTGCCTTTAGCTATAAAGATTTTTGCATGTTCTCACAAATTTATGGTATGAATTATTATAATGCAGTGCTTTTGTACAGCTCCTTTCATCATGGGATATCAAAGTGGTTTATAAGTGTTAATTATAGCACCCCTCGGGGAGGCAAATGGGAGATAGGCACCCACACCAGTGTGTGTTGATCCAGGCTCCAGATGGGTAATAACCCACATTTCAGCTGGATCCAGCCCTGAGCCTCCCTCCCCGCTCTGAGGGCTCAGCTGGGACTGGGACCTCTTGGGTAGCGCAGTCATTGCCTTGGCCAGAGCCCCACGACCTCCTTTTGGGAGCATTTTGCTCACTGCAATGGGAAGGTGAGAGCTGGACAGCAGAGTCGTGGGACAGTCACTCCCCACCAGGTACCCGGAGCTGCTACTGCCTCCATCACTGCTGTGGCTCGGGATGTTCAGCATTAGGAGGATGTGGAGCTGCTGGAGTGGGTCCAGAGGAGGCCATGGAGATGCTCCAAGGGCTGGAGCCCCTCTGCTCTGGAGCCAGGCTGGGAGAGCTGGGGTTGTTCAGCTGGAGAAGAGAAGGCTCCAGGGAGACCTGAGAGCCCTTCCCAGGGGCTAAAGGGGCTCCAGGAGAGCTGGAGAGGGACTGGTTACAAGGCATGGAGGGACAGGACTCAATCAGTCAGAGCAATTCTGGCTGGCTCGACTCCACTGTGGACTGTGCTGCCCTGTGTGGCACTAATCTAATTGTGTTGTTTTAATTACACTTTGATACCTTGGTGCTGTTTGAAGGCTCGATGGCAATCGATGGGGGTTTTGTTTTCCTATCAATAAGGACATAAAGGCTTTGCTGGCTCGGCACAACGGCCCAGGGGCTCTCGGCAGGTCACAGCTCCTGCCACGGGCACAGGGATTGTCTGTCCCCACAGGAATCCTGCAGTCCTGTGTGGAAACCCCTCCCACAGCCAGCATGGTCCTGTGGATTCCAGTTATCAGACTCGATAAGGGAGGTGACCTGTGCTGCGTGTCCTGCTAAACCAGCAGGTCTTTGCAGTCAGGAGTGTTGGGGGCATCCAACACTCTGCAGGTTGGCCCCTTTCTTAGTGTATTTGTGGATGTGGACAGTGCAGATCACGGTAGGTCTCATCACCGCTATCCTGCAGAGCAAGAGGGCTGCTTTCCACCATCAGAGATGGACAGTGGTTGCTCATTACCCCTTCCTGATGATTAGGACTCTGATTCAATGCACCACTGAGAGCTCTGATAGTTGGTTCATCTGTCCTGATTTGTCTAATCTTTAGACATCTTTAGATCTGACTTAGCCACCGCCCTTTATGGCCAAAACATGAGTTACAAGCCCCTCAGAGTAACCGTGGTAGGTAAAGGGAGTCATTTTCTGGCCACGCCTGTTTCTCTCCAGGTCAAGCTGTATTTAGGGTAGCAATTACATTCCACCTTGCTCTGAGCCACCTTACTTTTGTCAGAGTATCAACTTTGCTGAGATTACACGTGATTTGTGTTGGTTAGATGCTGCTGTCATCCCTGGTGGCAGCCTTAGGACCAGGAGCTGTTGGTCCTTAGCCTCCTGCAAGGTGGAATCCTGTTTAATGTTAGAGAAAGTGCTTTAACTAGACTTGCGTGTACCCTGAGTGTCCTGGGGTCCAAAGAAAGCTGTTTTTTTCTGGGTTTAGGCTCAAATTCTTCCTCATCCTGTGCCCAAGAGGAGGCTGTAACCACTCCACTGGGATGCCACGGCAGTGAGCACTGTTAGAGAGGGATGCTCTGTATCTGGGTCCGTATCCATATCAGTCTGGGTGTCTCCCATGACACTGCACATCCCATCAGGCCGCAGTGAGCGACTCCCCTCTTCCTCTGGGCTGAGCCCCCATCTGCCGTTCAACCCCAAGTTTGCATCGTGGCACTAATGCCCAGGCTGCCAGGCAGCTCCTGCTCTGCTCTCCAGCCACCTCTGCGCTCTCCACCCTCCTGCTTCGCTGCCTTCCCCTCGTGCGTGCGACACAACTTCCCGACGCTCCTTCCTCGGCTCCGCAGCGTCCGCAGCCACATTAAGTAAACATCAAAGGGGCTTTGATCAGCGGGGCTCTGCAGAGCGCAGAAGCCCCCAAGGAGCTCTGCAGGTCCACAGGCAGCATCGGGGACGTGGTACCTTAATTTTCTGCACAGTGACACAGGAGGATTTGTTTGAAGAACGAGAGCTCTGAGCCGCGCGCGGGGAGAGCGCATGCACAGCCCACTTCTGGAGAAACCCACGCTCACATCCCTCTCTCTCTGCTTGTTACCAAGAGTCAAAAAGCCCTATTAAGAAATCAAGGCATCAAAGGCATGTGCCTCCTCAGACTCTGGCACTCTGCTGCTCGTGGGGTCACTTGCTTGCTTCTAAAGAGCAAGATTCCTCAGGCCAGACTTATCTTCCCTCCCGAGGGCCATTTCCCGTTTTGCTTTGCTGCCCACTAAGGAGAAAAGGATCAAAGAGTCCGTGTTGTTGCAACACGCTGCTGTGGAGGAAGATGCAGCTCCTTCCCTCACTTGGAACAGAGGAGTGATTGAGAAACAGGCAGGGGAGGGGTTGGTGACCCTCCTGTCTCTCCATACACTGGCTTGGGTCCCCAGCACAGCTCAGCTCAGTGAGGATGACCAAGGACCTCAGTTCCATGCCCACCTCGCTGGGGCTTTACCTGAATGGTGTCCCCAGCAGGATTTGCTCCCTGCAGCCTTCCCAGGAGCTGCTCTTGTCCCCAGCAGGATTTGCTCCCTGCAGCATTCCCGGGAGCTGCTCTTGTCCCCAGCCCGGTCTAACACCACGCTCTCTTCTCTTGCAGAACTGGGGCTCCCAGGAAGAGGATGCTGCCTAGTCCTGGGGTTCATGTACAAGGAGAAGTACCGCAGGATGACTGAAGGTGAGCAGTTCCCTCACCTTCTCTTCTTCCTTCTCCTTAGCCATCTCATTGCCAGGGGTGTCCCTGCTAGGGATGATCCAGGTTCTTGTTCACACTGAGGAGAAAATCTTGTTTTCCCTTTGATCTCCGGAGCATCTTAGTAGGCATGGATGAGGGAAGTCCCCTGTGTGAAGCTGCAGGAGAAGAGATGGAGCTTAGTAGTTCCACACATCCAAAATCCACTGTCTTTTCCTTTGGAAAGGATTTGTCACATGGGAAGCTCTTTGCTGCATCTCCTCTTTTTGTTCTAGTTGGGTGGTGCTGTCTCACCATGACACTTTCAGAATCCTGCTTTCCAGTGCCTTTGCACCCCTCAGAGGCACTGTTCCATTGCTCATCAAACTCCTGCTAAAATGTCCCTGTTTTATATTCTAGTCATTCCCCAAGTACTTTATGAGCATTGATTAATCCATAGAAATATCATAAATAATTATGAAGCGTAATAACTAAACAAAAACTATTTATGCTCAGAAGAAGTGGCATCCTTGCTTCTGGCAGCTTCTTTTCCTGGAGCCAACCCTGGCACAGCAGCTTCTGATTAATGCTGGATAAGAGAAGGAACATAGAGCCCAGAGCCCTTTGAGATGGGAGGGTCTCGAGGGTGTGTCAAGGAGGGTTTGGCTGCTGGGAGGCCACTCTGGGAACTGCAAACTTGACCCAAGTGTGGATTTAACCCTTTGGGGGGGCTTAGAGTGGACAAAGAGTGTGATTTCTTGCCCTACTGCACTTCATTTTCTGGAAACATCCACGGTCAGGCTGGATGAGACCCTGAGTAGCCTGGTCTAGAGGAAGGTGGACACCTGTGCATTGCAGGGGGATTGGACTGGATGACCTTGAAAGATTCATTCCAACCCAAACCACTCCATGCTTCCTTTTCCTTGTGGGATGGTGAGTCACCAGCAGACAGCCATGGATGTGTCTGCTCTCACAGGAAGCCTTGTCTTCCTGAGAGTAAAAGGTGAGTTTGTTTCCATGGAGTAAAACTCTTGGAGAGGCAAGTTTATGGCTCCAACATCAGTTAGAAGATCAAAGGTTCCTTCACGTTCCCAGGAGCCCTGATACTGAGCTGATAACATGGGGAAAGTACTTCACAAGACTTCACCTCCTGCTTGTTAATTACCACATGCTCTTTAAACATTGATTAGAGGATGTTTTTAACTGGAAGGAGCTGCCCCCTGGGAGAAGGGGTGGCAGAGTCTCGTCCAAGTGCTGTGAGAAGGTGCAGTTTCCCTCTCTCTCAGTACCTTCAAGCTGTGCCCAGACAGGCAGGAGCACCCTGGGGCTGCTCACAGGGTGTCCACGAGCTGGCAGGACAATCCTTGGGTCCTGCCAGTCCTTTGGGACCGCTCTGGTTCCCCGGTGCATTCAAAGCCTGCTCAGCCTCTGATTGGAGCCCCCTTTTCAGGCTGAGCGGGGCTTTGTGTGGAGAGAACAAAGGAACATGAAAGGCCAAAAGTAAAGCTTTTGTGTGGCAAAGGGAACAAAGTGTTCCTGCCTGGCTGCAGCCAGTTTCTGGCCCCTGCAGGCTGCAGGGCCATTATGTTTAAAGGTACAATCTGCCAAAAAACAAAAGTCAGGGGGATTTCCATGGCTACAAAGACCTCCTAGGACTTGTGTTTTCGCTTGAAGCGGCTCTGGATGACAATTGCAGGCCTCCAGCCTCCCGGGTTTTGGTGGATTGCAATGCAGATCCACACTCTGTGTGTCAGCCGGGGTGGGGTCAGGTGTCTGGTCATCTACAGAGGTACCACGAAGGAATTAACCTGCCCAAGGTGCCTGAGCTGGCCTCTTGGAACCAGTTCCCTTGTAAGGATGAGGACAGAGGCAGATTCCCTTTTGTATTTTTGCCAAGGAAGAGTTTTTTCTCCCTTTTACTGCATGATGGTGCTAATGAACAGCCCTATTAATAATTGCAAGGGCACTGAAGGAACTGAAAGTACAGGTAGGCAGTGGGGCAATGGGATAATTGTGAGGTGTGGGGTCTCCATCCTAGTGGAAATGGGTAATTACAGGGATCATTTGAACCTTGCTGTCACTCAGTGGAGACATCTACAAAATAACTTGTGGGCAGAGAAGAACAAGAGGACTTAGAGGCCTTGGAAGTGTGGAGGAAACACTTCTTGGTGGGAAATCACTTCTCAGGTTGGATCTCAGGGAAAGGTTCTTCCCCCAGAGGGTGGTTGGCACTGAACAGGCTGCCCAGGGCAGTGGGCACAGCCCCAAGGCTGCCAGAGCTCCAGGAGGGTTTGGACAACGCTCTCAGGGACAGGATGGGGTTGTTGGGGTGTGAAGAGCCAAGAGGTGGACTCAGTGATCCTGTGGATCCCTTTCAGCTCAGGATATTTTACAGTTCTATGAAAGTGTTTCTCTTGGCTGTCTCCATGAAGGAGATCCAGGCTGGACTCTTGCAGACCAACCTGGTAACCTCTCCCAGTGGGGCAAAATAAATGTTGTGGGTTAGAGATGCTCTGTGGACATGCCCAGAGTGGATCTTTGGTGGCATGATGTTATTTGTTCTCCAGCTGGCAAGGGATGGGTGTCCATTAGCCCAGCTGAGAGCAGATGTGGCTCTTCCAGCTGAGCTGCACTCCAGGGCGAGGAGCTAAAATCAGTGTCCATGAACTTGCCACTGTCCATTTTAGTTCCATCAGTTCTTCCTATCAGTGCGTATCAGTGTCTGTGTAGTGAACAAACTGGTCTGGGTGTGGTGTTGGTGCCTCTCCCAGCTGTCAGGCAACAGCAGCCTGGGCTGCTGCCATCGCTGGTGACAGGCACAGCAAACCCGGCCTGGGTCCTCTCCTTGCTCTGCTGCCCACACTGGGTGTGACTGCCTCCTGCTCCATTGCTTCTGTGAAACCCACACCAGCAAAAGTGCTGGATTTGGTGATGAAATTGGGGTGTACTTGGCTGGAGAGCAGGAAGGTGTTGTGGCAGCATGGCTGTTCTACACTTATCCCTTCACTGGGATTGATGATGGGCTTATCTGAGTGCTGGGCTCACATTTGGTGTGTGCTGTTCTCGTGGTTTGGTGAGTGCTGGGCTCACATTTGGTGTGTGGTGGGAGCTGCTGGGTGAAATTGAGCTGGTGACAGTTGTAGACAGAGGGAGAGGCAGAGCTGTCTGCAATGACGGCCTTGCAATAAAGACACTTCGGAGTTAATCCTCCACCATCTGTCTTCATTCTGCTAATAACCCACTCAATCAGCTGCTGCCGACTGTTTGTTAACATTCAGAAACAGATACATAATCAGGAGCAGGGAGCTGTTTGCTCACAAGGGGCTGAATTCCTCCCTTGGAATGGCTCTCCCGTGGCCATGATGGTGGATCAGAGGGAGCAATGACTTGTGGATTGGATGTCCCAAGGCATATGCCATGTGGAGGTGATGCTGGGGCTGGCAGTGATCTGAGTTATGCTGCTTTCCCCAGGGCTTGTGCTGCCCTGACTCAAGGTGATTTTGAAGTAGAAAGGTGTTAGGTATGAGGTGGGTCACCTTAGTCCACCAAGAAAAAGGATCTTGAACTACCTGGAAAATTTGGGCTTGTTTTTCTGCTCCCACTTCTTCAAACACAGTTCCCTTCCCAAGGGCAGGTGAAGGGTGTGCTGGAATATCTCTGCTCACCTGTCGTGCTTGGTGCCTGCCTGTCCATAGCTGCAGCTCCCAAGCTGGGCTCGCTCCTCTCTCCTCCACAGTGTTCCAAGCAGGAATTCAGACGTCGATCCCACTCCTGTGATTTTCCTCCTCCTCTCCTGCCTTTGACAGCTTGCCAGGCCTAACTCGAGTCATTAGCGAGCGTCACTGCAGCAATTATGGCACTTTTTGGCTGCCATTCATAAAGCTACTAATGGGAATGATTTAAGCACGGAGAGATGTCAGCCTTCACCTTTCCCACCTGTTCCTGCCAGCCTGGCTGCTGGAAGGTGCCTCCAACCATCTCCCTGCGCTCAGGACGGCTCCCTTCCTTCCTCTGACCTCCCTTTCCTGGCTCTGGTGTCCTCACATGCAGTGGGTGACACCGCTGAGGGATGGACACAGCTCGTGGAGGGGAAGGGTGGGTTTCACCCTCATGCCCTGAGTTGGGTGGTGAAAGCAGGCGGGGCTGGGAAAAGGCACAGAAGGACTTGGTACAGCATCTTCCCCCAGACCAGCTAATGGTTCGTGGTGTGTGGTTAGGGAAGGACAATCCCCCCTCTTCAGATGGATGCAAACACTGGCTGGCGTGCTGGGAGAGCCTGGTGCCGCAGTTATCTCTGGCAGCAGCTGCTCTCTGTTCCTGCCGTGGCTGGATCTGCATTCAAGGTGTCTCCACTCACTGCACAAAGCACAGCAGGACCAGCAGCCAGTGCTGCAGAGCTGCAGCTCCACAGAGCAACCAGGGCTCTGCCTTAGGTGGGAGAGGGTTAGTTTAGCAGGTGGGATTTGCTGGGAAATGGCTGCAGAAATCTGCTCAGGGAAGGGCTGCCCGGATCCCAGGAGGACACTTTGCTTTTAAAGGCCATGTGGGGCTGTTGGGCAGCGTGAGACAAACCTTCAGTTTTGGCAGTGGACTTGAAAGTTTTGCAGTCTGAGCTCAAATCTTGCCTTGACTCATCTGTTCTGATGGTTTGGGTTCTTATTTAAAGGTGCTGGGACTGAAGCAAAGCTCTGCTGCCTCTTGTTCATAGGATCATAGAAAGGAAAGGGTTGGAAGGGACTTACAGATCATCTGTTCCCAAGCTCCCCTGCCATGGGCAGGAACACATCCCACTAGACCAGGTTTCTCAAAGCTTTATCCAACCTGGCCTTGAACACTGCCAGGGTTGGGCTATCCACAGCCTCTCTGTTCCAGTATCTCATTACTCTCCCAGTGAAGAATTCCTTCTTAATATCCAGCCTGAATTTTCCCTGTTTCGGTTTGTAGCCATTCCCCCTTGTCCTGTCACTACTGTTCCTGATGAACAGTCCCTCTCTGGCTTCCTTGCA